TGCAGCTTTATTCCGCTCTAACATTTCCTTTGCTGTGCTGAGCATCACTGAACCTGCTTTCCGTTTTATTGTGTTGAAACAGTGATGTTTGGATGCGAAAAGTGATCACTGAACAAAGCAAAAGAACCGAACGCCAAATCGTGATGGAAAGAACAATAAAGCGAAAAATGCTTGAAGCATTTCTTCGAGGTCATATGGGGCAGTTGGACTGCCCATCAGATAAGCAATCGAATACGGGAAGTCGTTGCAGCCATCTGTCAGCACAGTACATTGTCAATCTTGCTGACAACTCATGGATGTTACAAATTAGTGAGCGATACCCGTAAAAAAGCTTAGGATTAGCCGGGCGACCTCCGAAGAGATGCTGCACATATATCGGATAGGCGTTAGGTCATTATGGGCATTATGCAGTTTAGAATCGGGCAGCCTGGTGCAGCTCTGCCAGGAGTATGGGTGCATCTTCCTAGGATTCTTAATACCAAATTGCGATACCGGTCACTGGAACGGTTCAGATAATTTAAAAAAAAAAATCTGGGAAGGGATAAACCAATGTCTTTTTGATGTGATTTGGTAGTGGCATATTCAGCGTGCTGGAATTTCAGAATGACTTTAACTTTCAACTGTCATTTAAAAAGCAAAATGACAGTTTCACCATATATCACTACTAATGGTAATAGTGCGATTACTTGGGACTAAAATGTGTGCATCATTTGTCAATCTACTGAAATATGGTTGAGGGTAAGGGCGGCTAGCAGGAAGGAACAAATATTCTCGAAAGAGATCAGTCTCTAATTTCAAAAGCAAGATTTTGTACAGTGTTTTAACAAATGTTCCTCTAATGTTCAGTTTTTGTTTCTACGCGCCACGACTACCGCTGGTGTCACACTCTAACAGTTGTTGCCGTGTTCTTAAGCCAGATTCGATAATTCGATAAACACGAATGTACGTGACGTGTATGCGTACACGTCTGTGTGTGTGTGTGTGTGTGTGTGTGTGCGTGTGTGTGTGTGTGTGCGCGTACCTGTATGCGTGACAGCAATTTTTATGCATGCGAAGAGTGAACAACGAGTATTTGGGACAAGTACCCCCTCCCCCCGAGTAGCCAATAATTAATAAATGCTTTTTGCTCGTTGACTGGGGCGAGAAGATGGCATAAAACACAGTGCATGCCCTCGGATGCAAGCGTCCGGAGAAATGGAAGACACGATGCGGACGAGTCGGTGCCCAAAAGAGCAACAATAATTGGCGGCCGAGAGCTGTAAGCATTCCAGGACGAAGCGCTCCTTAACGAGATCCATTTGATGACTTGAAGCATTCAGCGGAGTGACTGCTAAAATGAATGCTCTGAATGAAGTGTGCGGTGACGCGCAAATTCCTGCACTTTGCACTGGGCTGATTGATGTGTGTGTGTGTGTGTGTAGGTGAGTGTGTGTGCGCTTCGTGCATGTCGGTCATCATCCAGGCCAAGAGGAGGATTGTTTTAAATAAAAATGCGAACACGCTAAGAGGTTCACCAGAGCCACTAAAATATCAAGTAGGGCGCGCATACACACACGCACACACATACAATGCAGTAAGCTGTGCATCAGATGCGCGTATTATTTCTCGAAATGCAACTACTGCCTTGCTGGTAGCAAAAGAAGACACGTAAAGCGAAGCAAAATGCTCGGCAAAACTTAAGTTTGCTTAAATTAAGCGGCTAAACAGTGTCAGGAGTATTAATGCAGTAGGCGTGTTTTTTACGGAAGAATACGCACACACACACACACACACACACGCATACACACATGCACATATAGTGCACACAAACACACACATACACGCACAGACATACACGCATCCACAGACGTACACGCAACATAAAAGAAATACATATACACGCAACCACCCGCACACATACACGTACACACAGACAAACTCAAATGTGTTCATATGTACACACACACATACACATGCACACATACACACGCATATGTACGCATACACAGACATAAGCAGAAGGTATGATGTAGGCTGAAGCTAGAAGCGTTAGTAGCAGAAGCTAGCTAGAGATAGTCTGATACGTCATATCGATCTTGTTTGGAGAAGCCTTGAGGTCCACTTGCAAGCCAGTAGCCCAGTCCTGTCTGCATGTGTTGCTTCTTGCTTTTGCCCGCCTTATAGCTCTTCCACCAGAACACGGCCCCACCTACGTTCTTTGATGCCGCTAACCCCTCTTCAGCCCGTCCCTTGCCCCCAATCAGAAGCTACATCCACGTTTACCACCACTCCTTGCTGCTATCCTCAGAGCCAGCATATGTTGTTGCAATTGCTGCTACCGCCTTTAGCTTCAAGTGCTGACGATGTATTTTGTCAGTTCACTTGTGCCTTGCTTACTCTTCTCCCTCAGTGCTCCCTCAAAATGCCCCCTAGCTCTTTCGCCTCTTTCGACCTCTCATTCCTGGAACACTTCTTCCATGCCACATCAAGCCATCGCAGATCCGCAAAATGCACAGTGCTTGAAATCCGGAAAAGCGATTCGATGATTCATGTTTGAGCTTTACTTGCTTGTAGGAAGTAATTGTGCCTGAAGAGTCTTCTGGGGAGTTTCCTGCAACAATTACTTTGGTCTGTCGGCCTGCTGTCGCCTGGAATCGGAGAGCCGGTGCGATATTTTTTTGCCTGTTGATTTATTGGAAGACCCAGTTATATCTCGAAAGTCATCCAATAACAATCAACTTGGAATAACTCATCTAGAAACAATTGACCTAGGAACGTAGGAGAGCTT